GGCTAACCCTGAAGAAGTGAGGGAGAAAACACTTCGACCCCAGCTGCAGCAGGACCTCGAAGGCGATCACATCAGGCCCATCAAGAAGATCTCACCAAACAGCAGTTTACTGTGTTTACAATGGCAAAGTAATTGGTGTAATTAGAAACAAATGGAGGTTGTTTATGTTCAGCCCACAGGCGGTCTCAGTGGAAATCAGCCTGTGTCACTAAGGCTGTGGCAGCTCGGCCAGACATTGGGGATCTGTGTAAACACACTCACACGTTCCTGGCCCCAGGAACACACACGGCACAACACTGATGGGGCTTGCAAACTTACAAATTTGCAGATGGTACACAAACAGAGAGGTTATAAACACTGTGGGAGCAACAGATGAAATACTAATTGACTATTCAGAGCTCGGCCAACCCCTGGCAAGTTAAGCATTGTGCAGACAAATGCAAGAGTATAGAGTAAATATAAGAGCAGCAGCACATAAGAAGCAGCCTATAAAAAGTATTGAACTTTATACTGTCTCTTTGTTGTCTTGTTCAGTGGGGAGGTGATAATAAAGGAGCTGCAACCAAGGCAAAAGTGCAGAATTTAAATCTGAAGGGGAGTCCTTATTGTATATGATTCAAATGATATCATGTCTTTGTGAGATCTTGTTTAGAATCTCTCATTTTTTGGTTGCACCAACACAAAAATGACAAGATCTTCCGGAAAGCAGTCAAATGATAGATAATTCCTGGTCCCAGAAGTCTGAGAAAGACAGGTTAATGGAACTAAGGAACAGGTGAAGGTTTATTCCATGCTGCAAGGAAAAGAAAACGCACGTTTTGTCTGAAACACTGAAGTCTGTGGAAAAGAGACTTAACTTGTCTCTTTTCTTTTCCTTCCAGCATGGAATAAACCTTTACCTGTTCCTGTGCAGCCTACACACACTGACAAAGCTCCCTACTCGAACTTCTTAATAGAACGAGACCTCTTCAGTCTTGAATAGTGTTTACAAGGGGCGTTGACAGAAATATTCACAATTTTCAAGTTTGAAATAAAATGAATCAAAGGACCACGTTCAGAGCTCAGATGAGCGCATTCGGGTTTGAAAACAGGGAGCACTTCTACAGTAAAAGAATCGTGGCACATATTGAAGCCGATTCTTTGAGTTCTTTCAAGACGAAGGAAGGGGGTGAAGAGGGTGATAAGACACTGTAAAGTGCTCACAGGTCTTCTGAGGTACACAGCACAACATAACGCAAGATAACGACAACACACCACCAACCACAGCACGACACAACTACAGAACCACAAGCTGTAGTGGATACGCTTGCTGCCGTCTTCTATCTGCTTCGCAGATGGAGGACCACCCAGGGTACCTGGGACCAATTAGAAACAGGAGGAAAACAGCACTGTGCCAAGAGGGAGCTGGCGTGCGAGTGTGGGGGTCGGGGTTGGGGTGCGTTTCAGCCTGCGCTTCTTACGTGATCTCCACGCAAGCACGTCATCACTCAAGGCGTTCTGCGCGGAGGAATGTGGACGGAAAGAAAGAGATGGCAATGAGAAAGAAAAAAAAAAAGAAACCAAATACAAAGAACGATGTAATGGGTGGTGAAAAAAACAGCACTTCAACCTCCCAGGAGGGGTCAGAGTTCAAACCAGACACATCAAAAATCAACCAATACCTGTACCTCTCTTTCTGCCTCAGTCTCCCCCTTGTGTGTACATGCACTTTTTTATATTCTAGGAAACACTGCTCATTTTCCTGAAAATGTTCACAGAATATTAGTGCGATATCAGCGAGGCAGGGCACATGTAGGGCACATGTAGTAACTTTACGCATGTTTAGACTTAATGCAGCTAGGAAACACATTGACAGGCAGGCATACATGATTTGACTGCGGTCTGTGAAAAGATAAAAATAAAAGGAGGAGGTGAACATTTTTAAATCATGTCAAACTAATTTCAATCAACTTACGCCAATGTTTACTTCCAAAACATTTAAATTCCCCTTGAAAAGGCTTGTAATAGACTTTCCAATTAGGAAGAAAATAATTTTGGGTAAGCTTCCCTGGTTATGACAATATTTATACTGTTCCTTTAAGATAAACAATGTTTATTTATACTGTACTGTTTCTGTTTATACCTGTCCCAATTCATTTTAGAAAATGTAACTTTAATTTTTGAAGTTTGATTTCTGTACACATTTGTTAAGGCCTTACAAACTTTGGAAAATCAGGTCCTTAATTATTTACCCAAACTTGCAGAAGAGCTTGCCATAGGTTTGGGTCTCTGAATAAACAGGGCTGACACAAATTTGTTCAAATAATTTCCAGCAACTGTTCACAGATGTCTGAGGTTTTTAAGATGATCTGCAGAACACATACAGTTTCTCTAGCTGCAGTGTTGCTGTAAGTGACAAGAATAAAGCAGACAGTAGTACAAAACACGCCCTCTATAACAGCAGAATCAATAACCGTGAATCAGATATAGTAAGAATTATTTGAACTGACACATTTAATTTCAATTCAATTTAACACTTACTGTTAACACTTGCATTTTTTAAGATTTGTAATGTGATAAAGTGCAAAACTTTGAAACCTAAATCAACACCAATATAATTAAATAATTAAGAAAGGACTTCATTGGGGAGGCTGTAAAAGAATTGATTAGGGAGAAAATCTCGACTGCTTTCATCCAGTTGGCCTTGTTAGTTTAACATGGTCTTAATATGTTTTTAAGCGGTTTGAAAGATCAACACGGACAAGAGCACGGATGTGTGCCTCTTGCAGTGGGGGGTGAGGGGAGTGTTAGAGGTCACTGGCTACTGGCAGTGGCTGCCTGTGTGCCTGCATGCTCAGGGAGGGCCCAGCGATCCCAGCGGAAGTCCTGCAGTGCTGCTCTAACTAAAGAAAACACTGGTCTCTCCCCCAGCTGCTGCTTGTCTGCTCATGGACAGGAGCACCGGGGCAAAGGGCAGAGGGTCCCCAAGGCCTTGTGGACCGGGCGGAGAGATCCCTGAAGTCCCGACTGTGAGAGACAGGGCAACGCTACGCATGGACGGGTTTTTCCTCCATGCAGCCCCCCCCACCAACAGGTTTATACTGCAAACGCCAAACCTACAGGCCGGAAACCTGCACCTTCCCGGGCTCCTTCTTGTTCGAAATACCGTAGGAAAGGTGCTGCTTACCCTGCCGTGGCAATTTAGGGTCAGGAGAACGAAAAAGAGACTTTCGTCCTGATAAACAAGCATCCCAGCGAGAGCGGTAGGATTAATGAATATCACTGAAAAGACCTGGACCTGGAATTTGCAGGCTACCTGAGCGGTATCAGTTCGTCTCAGTGTGTTCTAGTGGTATTCCAGTGTTGTTCCAGTCCCGCTAACAGCTAACAGGCTAACAGCAGTGGAGGTGATTCGCTCCTCTGCCTCATCAGACCCTTTAGTTTCCTCTTTAGGCCGTTCTCACGGTCAGGCTGATGGGAGGCGCAGTGGCAGTGGATAGCTGGTTGACCGTGTGATGACTTGGGCTAGTGGAAAATATGAAGAAGTCACTGGCCGGGATAAGAGGGCCTGTGTAAGACTTCATTCACTCAGCTTAGCATGCCCAGCATTGTTTCGCACCACGAAGGGAAAAGGGATACAGTGCGGGATGAGGGGAGTGTTAGAGGTCACTGCCTACTGGCAGCGTCTGTTTCCCCAAAAATACATCTACACCTTCTTGAATGTTTTAGAACAGAGGAATCACTTCAATTAAGCTATTTTTAGCTTTGTCTTTTGCCGGAGGAGAGTTTTTCCAGGTAATAGGTTCCTGCCTCCTGTAGACTATTGTCTTTACACATGTCTACAAGGACTCCTGACTCCACGGATGAACGGGTCACCATCTACACCGTCATCTCTAGGACTGCGCAGGCCGTTCCTCTGGCTCACCTGCGTCCGTTGGTGTCCCGAAGCACAGCTGCCCCTGGGTCCTGGGCTTGCGCCTCCAGCTCCTGCACCTCCTCCAGAAGGGACTTCCTGTACGTGTGCCTGCCCCTGCAGGCAACCAGAAGCCAGAGGTCAGAGTTCAGGGGTCACCCACAAAACATGTACGCAGGGGTACAACTTCTGTACAACTTCCACAAACCAACCCTTAGCCCCCAAAGAAGCCCACAGATTTCAGAGGGATTTGGTAGATCATGGAGGCAGGAAATATTTCCACTTAAAAAAAAATCAGCAAGAACAATGTATTTCGTCCTGGAGCATAAGGCTTTGTAAGTGAATTTGAGAGTGAGCGAATTTCCTAGGTTCCCGTGAACATTAACCTGCGTATGTCAAGAAATGATAACAGTTCATAACAGTTTGTGCCGGGAAGCCGACAGACAGACCCTCCCAGGCTAGGACAGTGTGGATGTGGGATCGCTGCGTGGTCAGTCGGTCAGGACTCCTCCTGGGGGCAGGTACTCACGCTCTCCATGCCACATCTTTCAGCAGGCACGCCATGGGGACGAGGAGCAGCCCCAGCCAGAAGCTCCAGCACTTCATCACCATTCCAGCCTGCAGCACAGAGAAAGTGGGATGTACAGCAATTTCCTGGGAGTCTCATACTCTGCACAAAAAAATGACTTTTTCAGTAAAGATGCTGCTCTTCCGACAAGGAAAATGATAAGAGTATCTTGCATTGCTGCCTGTTGGTTACAATCTCCAAAACTGCCGACACGTGAATATTATAAAATTTCAGTTCACATCGCAGAAAGACCTTTTTAAATGTCTGGCAGTGATTTGTAGAGGAGTCCGGGCGCTGGGTTTGTGGGAGGGGAGGGGTGGCTTGTGGAGGAGACTCAATGGAGCCAGGGTGTGGATGCAGTGTTCCTCATGAGGCAGGTGTCCTGGGATGTGGGGGCAGCTGGGAGATGTTAAATTACAGGCAGGCCTGGCACCACATCAAGAGGAGCTGATGTGCTCACACACTCACAGCAGAGCGGTGATACTACCTCCCACAGAGCAGTAGTGTTAATCCTTCACTGTACGCCTTTCTATTGGTCTATATGAGAGATTATTTTTTGTCCTGCTGTATGATTACCTAATCATTTGACAATGTATTTGTCTACCATAGAAAACTACAACAAAACTATATTTAGATACGTGCTTGGCCAAACCATTTTTAAAATTAAAGTAAGTACACTGTTATCAGATCACCCCATGATCTATCATATTGTATATCTCTCCATTCATTTGCAGCCTTTAAAGATTTTTTTTAAACTAAACAAAACAAATGAAAAAGAATCCCTCAATAGCATTACATTCCAAAATGTAATGTTAAGTGCACCAATAAATCTATTTTTACCAAAAGCAGACACCTGTCACAAACACGTCAACCAGGCCTCAACTCTTGAACACTGCTGTGCCTCTCGATTTCAAGCTGTAGAATTGTTCTTCTGCCACCCAGAGCATCAGAGAGCAGACTAGAAACATGGAGCTGAACTGCAAAGGTCGCCAACCAGCTCCCTCAGCTTTTGTGTGTCCTTGGTAATATCATGTGCTCAGTTAGAGTGCTGTTCCACCAGCTTAATCCTGGACTACTGGTGCAATCATGATTGCTACAGAAATGTGGGAAGAGAAGCCCATCCTTTCAACAAACAACCAAACTTGGAGATTAAAACAATTGATTTGTGTAACACCTGTTCATGAAGTACAGAAGATGCAGTCGTGCAGCAGTCTGTACTTACATTGGCTGGATATGTAATATGCATAAGGATATGCAAAATATGGAATGCGAGTTTAATATGCAGAATAAATTGTGAGCTGTAACAACACCTCCTGACAATTATATCTGTGTCAGTCAGAAACAATATTGCATCCACAAGCCTGCAGCCCCCATGGGTACCGATAATGAAAATAATTGATCATTACTTTGTTTGCATGTATTATGCAGAAGGATATTTAGGAAGTACAAAGGATGGAAGTGAATTACTAAATGACGACCACTGCAGAAGAAAAGCATGATTTCTATAAATATATTTAATTAAAAAAAATTTTAAACATACTCTTGCGCCTGTTAGCCACTGTATTGCTCTGCCCCTACTCCTTCTATCAACACGATACTGCTCACTGCCCATAGGACAGCGACAATTGTTGCAATTGTTGTTTTTTTATAAAAAACAAAATCATAGGACACTGAAATCAACTGTCATAGGAAAAATGAAAACTGACATAGTTTTCTTAGTAAAAAGTCTGATAAGAACATCACCTCAGTAACTGAAGTGTTAGTTGCTTCTTTAGTGCCTCTTTTTATTGGAAGCCAATTATATTGATTATTGGCAAGAAAAGGGGAAGGGGCCCTATCTAATTCAAAAGGCTCTTATATTGTTTCTCCATGTGATCGGTGAAGGGGCTACACAGACCCAGGCGGACTGGGGCCATGCTCTGTCAGAAACAGCAGTGCCAGGCCAGCAGTGTGTAGTTCCTTTCTGGTGAGTGAAGCTGTGAAAAACGAAGAGGAAGGGATGTCATGACTGGTTCGTGCCCCCCAGCTCCAGACAGACCCAGCTGCCCGGTGAGGAGGAGGGCAGCAGAATGACGGAGGAGTAATAGAAGATGAAATATTATCAAAGGGCACACGAGAATCCGTGGGAGAATTAAAAAGCTTTCTAAAACAGATTGGGCTATCTGGGCTCTCCCCCTTGGCTGGACGAAAATAGACCAGGGCATTGGCACCAGGCCTCCGCACAAGACTGACCGCTTCTGGCCACTGGGCCCCACAGCTCCACATTTAACCACTTCAATCAAACGCCCGGGCTGGACCCTGACAGCAGAGACCCCGAGGCAGTAATGGAGCAGGCCCGGGGAGACAGGGAGCGAAGCACCACACACGGGGCAGGGGCGCACCAGTGGCTGACGTCACAGCCCGCGAGCCTGTCTCGGGAGAGCCGCGTGTCTGCCCAGGCTCCATCATCCTGCACCACTTAATGCTGAATGCCTGCGTCTGTGCTGAGAGAGCCTTGCCCATTTCCAGCCTTGGTCCCCACAGAAGTAGACAGAAAAATAAATACAGAAATACCTGGAGAAATGTAAATGGCTTTGGCTATTTTTATACTTTGCACTACGGTATTTTTAGCTATTTTTTCAGATTTGGTTCTTGCTCCCTCTTGGTTTTTTACTGAAATGTATGTGTGCTCTACACACAGGGCCTCTGCTGTCTGCCTCCATGTTTATGGAGTCCAGTTCTTGACAATACTGTCTGCAGGCTGTGATGATTGAGTGATTCTTTCGATATTACTGTCCAGGGGCACTGCTGACGCAGAGAGGACCTGTGCCTGGAAAGAATCAGAGGAAAATGAGTTATAACCTCTTACTCCTTCACCACTTAGGTGTCTTGTGAGTGTGTGTACAGAGATGAATCTCCTTTTTCTCTTTCCTCTTGCTGCAAGTGTTCAATGGCCAACAGGGTCTGCTATTAACAGTGGCTGTAGCCCTGATTTACAGACTACTACAGCTGCTTGAAGGCAACTGAAATGCGCAATGATGGTGCACCGAAGAAGCTTCTAGTTCAACATTTCAATATTGAACTCATTTCAATATTTCAGTTTCCTAGAAGCAGTAAGACATGTAAACAGTACTCAGGAAGCATAAGCAATTTTTTTTTCCACTCCATAACCGCTGACTTACTCAGAAAGAAATTTGTAGCCTAGCCTATCTGACTTCTGCTCTCAATTGCAACAAGTGTTTTTCCGCCATTGCTTCCAAATGGAACTTAGTGCCATCAGTGAAACCTGAATGTCGCTCAACGTGTTACAAACGCTCCATGTTCATGCTATTCATAGTGTACTGACAGCTGAGGGTTATGGCAGGGAGATCTTCAAGGATGGCTTCTCCCCCCACCGGGCCCACTCAGTAATCCCCCACACCTGCTGTGGGTCCGGGTCCTGGCCAGCTGTGGGAAAGAGTGCTGGCACAGAGCAGGGAGAGGAGTAGGACAGGGCAAACACTGCATCATCCAAGCTTGGACTAAGGACAGACTGGAGGGGAAGGTCTCTAACCTGACTACCCCCAATTCCCTGCAAACAGTTGCCACCTGTCCAGCAGGAACAGGGCGCGGAGCAAGTCCTTCCATCTCATTTTAGCTTTTTATCCTGCCACAATGGCAGCACATTTTACTGGACCGGATATACAATAAAAAGCTACATAAGCGATAGGGCTCTCTCCAATAATAAACTCTCCACATGCCTGGACAGACGACACAGGTAGGAAATACGAGGAAGTGCATTTAAAACTGAGAACAGCTCCTTTACACCACAGCATTTTGCAGTCTGGATCAAGCTACCCAGCCATGTTGCTGAAACAGATGCCCGGGTTTCTTTGAAGAAACTGCAGGATGAGATCCTCTGATTAATTCACTACTAACTACTACTTCTAATGGGCTGAATGGCTTCCTCTTGTTTGTAACCTTACTGGTGTTCCTATATGGACGTACATGGGAGCAGCCAGGATTTAGGGCTCTGTCTCAGATTGGCAGAGACCCGCTAAGCTCTGCTCACACGCGTTGAGTGACAGCCCACTATCCTCTCATTGGCTTTTCATTCCCAACACATTCCGTGACAGGTTTTCAGCATTCAGAGCAATCAAAACTTCACAAGGACCACTTTCAAAGATGTCTGACTTAGCTTCAGATATTGCTCCAAGTTTCTAAAAACCTAAACTAGTAAGAGTTAAATATTCACAACGTGGTAAGAGAGTGATGGCTTTGGGTTTCTTTTAAACGGTGGCTGAGCTTAGGAATAAACAGCTTTCTAGATGTACCTTTTAACTAATTGCCAGACTCCCTTCTTAAAAAGGGGGGATAGATCAGTTTTCCAAGGTTTCTTTCAAATAAAGGGATATATCAGTCTGTATATGTGAATATTATTCCTTTAACATCACAATACTATATTGTAATAACTAAGCACTGGAAATTGGTACGATTGCATTTTTAATTAGACTGGATTTTTTTTAAAACAGTAGCTGAAATGTCCTTCCTACTACTTTCTCCACACACCCAGCCACAGACTAGAACTTGGTTTTTCATCTATTATGGATGCCCAGTTGATGAGAGCAGTTCCTTAATTAGCTCAGGTTAGAACAGAGCAAGTTATATAATTTGATACATCTTTATACTTTATGTCAAATGGAATTCATCAGCCCAGAACCACAAAGTGCTACATCAGCCACCCCACACCATAAGGCACCGGCATCCTCCTGGATGAGCTCATGGTTAATTTGCAGGAAGAAGGACTGGACTTTGATACATCTGTTTATACAGAGACTCTGCAACCTGCCTGCTCCCTCCACCACATGATAACTTGGACAGATCAGTAGGCTAAAGACAGATAATTCCTGTAGTCAGTGGCCCTGAAGGTCAGGAAGCTGGTCATGCACCAATTGGAGATTATCACACATCTGTCTCTTCAATCTTCAAGCTGCTCCTCTTACTGAAAAACTACTTTAGTTCTCTGGAGGACTCCTCCAGAAATATAAGTACCTGTCCTGCTGGTTTTCCTAGGCACTGTGAATCTGAAAGC